GTTCCGATGATAACTTGCTCCGATATCTTTTCACCTCTACTCACTAAAACAGAAAGTAAGCAATTTTTAACAATGGACAAAAATATCGTGGCTCGGAACTGAAAGAAGTGTACGGAAACAATAGATGATCAAACAGGCTTGTCTGTTTAATCACCTACAACCATACAGTGACAGCCTACTTATGCAATTTTTTTTGTAAACTTAAACTTTAAATGTATATAATACTGTTCTAATAGTGAGCAGCATACATCGCTCGTATAGAGAAAAACACACGTGTGAAACACGAATAAGACGCTGTTTGATGGATCACTACCGAAACAAAGATGATAATTCTAAAATAAGACTTACGTGTTTCTCCTCTGACTGCAAGACGAATTCCAATCTTTGAACAGAATTTAGCCATTTGCTTCGCCACACAACCGGTCTGTTCTGCTAACTCGTAGGTTGGCGAGAGGATTACGACCTAAATCGAAATAGAATTAATTAATGTATAAACGTCTTTCGTATATTAATTAAAATTAACGTAATAAAACAAACCAAAAATGAACTATTTTAAATACGTTCAAATATGCAGGATGACCCATAAATGAGTTAACCACCTTTTCTGTTTCATTAGAAAGTCTTAAAATATAACACAAGATTAATATATATATACGGTATTTATCTTTCTTTGTAGGGTTGGTTAGATATATTTTTTAGCTTTTCATTCATTTTATTTGAATGTAATGTTGATAATCTTCGTGACGTGTCTATTCGATACCATCTAATGAACCACGTGTCTGAACTTCTATACTTGTAGAAATAATATTAAAAACAAACAATTAACATAAATTACCTGTGGAAATCTCTTATCCGGATCAACTCGGTTTAAAGCCGCCAGCAGAAAAGCGGCCGTTTTCCCCGTTCCACTCTGAGACTGAGCAATCATATTTTGAGAGCTGTTTTATAGCAAAAATATTGGAAAATTACATACTTTATAACTGCAAACTACAGATTTTTAAATAAATCACGAATGTAAATTTACTTACGGATTCGCAAGTAACGTTGGAAGTGTTGTTTCTTGAATTTTAGATGGCGCATTGAATCCCATTTCGTAAACACCTCTTAGAAGTTCTGGACGCCTATAGATTTTAATAGAAATTTTGTTATTTGCTCATTGTTTTATCTAAAAAAATGAGAAATTAATTCTAAAAGTAACTATTAAATTTATAGTCAAAAACATTGAAACTGTTCATTCTTTTCTGTTTACATTTTCCTGCTCGTATTACAATTACGTACAGAAATATCCAGTAAACACTTGGTCATTTTTATATTTAATTTGAAAAACTCATTCAAAATGACTATTTTAAACTCGAATTTATAGCCAAGTCAGTCTATACTATAAGCGATAATAGTTTTCATTAAAATGCACACTTGATAGATGATATTTATATATAAATAACACTTACAAGTTTAATTCTTCAAAGGATTTGACTGAATATAAAGGAGAATTTGGATTCTTTCTCTGAACTTCCACATCGTGAGTACTATGAACTAGTTTAGTATGTAGTATTTTTCTCATTAACGATGCCTCGGCAAGTGAAATTTCTAAATAAAGGATGATAATAATAATAATAATAATTCAAAAACACTCTGCAATTTAAAAAGTAAATTAATAATCTTATTACATGAAGTGATTAAATCTGAATTTTAGCATTAATAACTGAAAGATTGCAAATCCTTAGACAAAAGAAAGGAATTTTATGGATTCCAACGAATCCATTGATAACTTTTAAGCGTTAACATTCAAATTGATCGTACCAGGTTCGCCGTTTTCCGAAGAGTTTTCAGTTAAATTTTTTGCTGCTCTCTCTGCAATAGGCACCACCTGATTTGTAGATTTAATGTTTAGATTTCCAATCTGTAAAATATAATTATTATAATAGTATAATAATATCTATAATTTTCAATTAATCTAATACCGTATGTGTAAATAAATTTTATGAACTTATGTAATTATTATACGTATATAAAAAGCTTTAAACTTGTAAAAAAGTTTATTAAATTACTTTTTATCATACAATAATGCTATATAGATACAAATATGATCATTTTTATTTGATTAATTATTATATTAAAGTATTTCAATTATATTAATATAAAAATTAATATATTTGAAATACTTTAAAAGTTTAACGTAGTGAAATAACAATAAAGAAACACATCTTTCCTTTAGGGAGTGTAAGAACAAACTACTGTAACTTTATTTTATTTAAAGGAAAAAAATGGATAGTTTTTACAGTATAAAGACGAACGTTAAATAAAAATACAAAAAGACTATTAATAATAAAACCCTCAAAAGCTGTCCCGAGAGAGAGGAGACGAGTTACGTCAGGCTTTACCTTTGAATGTTGCATAAGCACGCGTACGTTGTATAGTCCATCATTAAATCCTGCCAAATTAGTAAATACAGTAGTAGTTTTGACAAGCCGAATATCTATTTCATTAACTACTAACCGATTTCTTACGTTTTCTTTAAAATAACGTTTGGAATTTCGATCCAGAACTTTTTCTAATACGTAAACAAAATTAATTTTTTATTTAAAAATACTAATTCTAGAGATTTAAAACTTATCGAGTCTGCAAGATTCATCCGTCCGTTATATTCATGAATAAAATAACGAATAAAATGCTTTATTAAACTGAAATAATCGTCATTTCTTAATGTAAACCCATAGGCCACGTGATGACAGTCGACAGAACATGGCGGCGATGACTCGTGTGTCGACACTCTGATAATCTAAATACTTTAATAATGTCTATCTAAATATATAATCGAGATGGGTTGATAATAATAATAATAATAATAATCGCAGAGCCCAAACGGTTGAAAGTTGAAATTTGGTACACAGTTAGGGTACGTCACGAGAATGCACACTTAGAAGGGATTTTTCGTAATTCCCCCCGCGGGGGAGAGATGTTACTTAACAATGAAAGTGTTAAGTAACAATGGAAGTGTTAAGAGAAAGCGGTGTGCATGATTAACAGGCGCAAATGCGTATTTTTTTGCATTTTAGCGGGAAATCGAATATATTTTTAGACCCATCTAAAAGTTTTCGAATTAGTCTGGAGACAGGGGGACTAATTCTTGCATTCTGTGAAAACGGGTAAAATTGGTTATAATGTGATAACCTAAATCTTCGCTATCGTTACTTTTTGCCCGAGCAACGCCGGGCCAATTTGATAGTAGTAGTAATAATGAAAAGGGTTGCATTAACCCAATGGTTCTCAACCGGGGGTACATGTACCCCTAGGGGTACGAGCGTAAATCGGAGGGGTACTGTACATCTAACTTTCATTATAAAATGGCGTATGTTAATCAATTCGCTGTGAATTATTAACACAAGAAACAAGAAACGACAAAAACTTTCTTTAAAATATCCCAGTGTGAACACCGATTTCCCTTTTAACAGTCTAAACAACTTGTTTATCTACTCGATTTGCCCGTGTATTTATGCCGTTAGCGCCGAGTGAGCCTGTAGTCTAGTGAAGTTACGGTTTAACCGAGCATTAATTATTTCTAGATAAGATTGGAGCTTTTCGTGTTTTTACTGGACTACTGGTATTAGGAATAACGAGGCCTGAATCGTATCCCCACCATGCAATGCGTGTCATTTGCATGCGCGAATTAGGCTAGGATTCCACTACCGTAAAAACGGCGTAAAAACCCCTCGCCGTAAAAGCTTTTAATCACGTGACCTATTTGCGTTTGCGCTCGGATTACGGTGGAGGTCCGGCTAGCGCGAAGTTTTTACGGCAACGGTGCTGCCCCAAGTGTCGAAAGTAAATACTTCTTCGCACGTGAATTGGTAGAAACGAAAGAAGGTTGTATACGTGATATATCGATATAAAGACAATGATTATATTCTAAGAGTTTTTTCTGTACTATAATTACAAATGTAGTAAAAATAATATCTTTACTTTCATATACTAACTTTTATTATCGTATTATTAAGATAATATACAGCACTTATAAGCTTAGCTTTTTTATTATATACTCCTCTAAATTGAAGGATTTCCTTTGGTATCCATTATTATAATCGGGTTACCTCTTGTCGTAGATACACGAATACTTTCGGATGTTTTCGATAAATCTTTCCGGATCTATTCTAGAGTAGCCACGAGGGAACGTACACAAAAGCTCGTTTTCCGCCATTTTAGCTCCGTGTCGCGATGACCTAGATTTCACTGACTTCTGATTGGTGGAAGGTACC